AGCTCCTGCTGAAATGAATGAGACTGTCCTGGGACAGGTCTCCAGAAAACTGACACAGCCTCCCACCAGTTTCTGCCTTGGGACGTTGTGACCATAATCATGTTTCTTTTTTCATGAGGATTCCAATTGCCAAGGAGACCTCTAACCACTTGCTTGTTCTAGGGATGCAGCAGCCAAGTGGAATAATCACCTCGTTGGGTGCTCATCATTTAATCTTGGCTACAGAGATCCCAAGACTGAAAGTCTCGGCCCCAGCCTGAGGCCAGAAGTGCCTCAGTGTGTCATGGGAAATAAACATCTTTTGAGATCTGTCCTTTTTCATTTTATCTCAGCTCTCTGGGTACCTAATAATAAAGAGGAAATCTCTTGCCCAAGGGACGCCTGCCTGGGTGTTTTTAGGTACTCTGCCTCTCTGAGATCTGAAAAATATGAAGCTAAGTGAACAATTAGAGTGTTGGGTTTGGAGTCAGGAAGACTCATTTTCCTGAGTTTAAATTTGGCCTCAGACACTTACTAGCCATGTGACCCTGAGCTAGGCACTTAACTCTGCTTGCCTCAGTTTCTTTATCTGTAATTAACCTGAGAAGGAAATGGCAAACCACTCCAGTACATTTGCCAAGAAAACCCCAAATGGGATCACAAAGTGTCAGATGCCACTCAAAAAAGACTGAAAAGTGGACAACAGATTCACGTTTAGTTTCAGAGGCCTCATCTCCCTCCTTTGCAAACAATTACTCAGAATTCAGGGGGATATCTCCCCCCTTTTCAAAAAGTGCCTTTGAACTTGCCCCAGATCTCACTGAACTGATTCCTTTTCTCTACTCCATCTATTTATGAAGCCTTTCCACTCTGTTGGCAGGATAACCTTAGTTTTGCTGTTTTTGCCAGCATGGAAAGGTACTCTCTGTACTTCCCCATCTCTGTTAAATCTCAGATGAGACACATGGTATTCTCAGTACCCCCTTGATTCTGGGGAAAGCAGCGAAGTAGATTTATATATGGGGTCTCTGGGGAAAAAATATTCAAAAAAAAAAAAAGGCCTCCTTATTCTGTGGATTGGGACCCAGACAGACCACCAGGAGAGAGAATAGTCCTTCCTTTGCATGCCACGCCCCTTCCCAGGAAATGCAAAGACTACCCTGGTGGCTTTTCCATCTCTGCTCCCAAGCATCATTAATGTCAGATGGAGTAAAAGGTGTGAGAGTTTAATGCTGCGGGGTGCTTTGTCCTTTGTTAATTTAGCCTTGCCTTTAGTGGGGTGGGAGGGGAGGGGTGGTCTTCAGAGAACTTCAGCCTTCCAGTGGCAGGGCATTCCACTAGAATTACCTGTACCGTTTCTCTTCTCGTTAATGCTGCTTCTGTAGCTGCTCCTACAGCTGTTTGTTGTCCCGGCGCTCGGATTCAGAAAGCACTGGGCTGAAACAAGACAGCCTCCATACAGACCAGGGCAATTCAGCGGCTGTTGTTGCCCTACCTGAATAGCCCAGGGATTTAGAGAGCACAGCACACACGCCCCAGGAGAGGATTCCTTTACAACTCATTCGGATAGTGCTTGCAACCCGTAAAGAAGCAAACAATGTTATTTAACAATAATAATAGCAAACATTAATATAGTGCCTACTGTGTACCAGATACTGTGCTAAGCGCTTTTTACAAATATCATCTCATTTGATCCTCACAACAACCTTGGGAGGCAGCTCCTATTATTATCACCACTTTTACAGCTGAGGAAACTGAGGCAAGTGACTTGCTCAAGGTCATACAACTAGTAAGGGTCTGAGGCCAGATCCAAACTGAGCTGTTCTTGACTCCAAGCCCAGCACTCTAGCCACTGCACACCTACATTAAATCAGACAAAGTCACTGTGTATAATGAGTCAGATTCAAAAATGTCTCCAACAAATTAGGAAACATCGCTATTAGAAATGAAGTAGATTCAAGAAGATGGGCACAAGGTGATACAGATAGTGAAAAAAAATTTGAAGCTTCATTTATATACGAGATGAAGAAAGCTTAGGCACAAATACAGAGGGAAAATAACTGGAGGTCGTAGTGAACCACAAGCTAGCCATCAGTGTCATAGAAAAGAAAACAATCATTATATTGATTTGTCTGCAAAAAAAAAAAAATAGAATGTGATAGCTTGACTGTGCATATTTGTTACCAGATTATTTTTTCTTGTTTCAAAGTGGGATGTGAAGAGAATAGTTTTTTTGTTCAATTAAAAATTATTTTTAAAGAACATGATATATATTAGTAGTGAAATAACATTGCCCAACCAAGAAAGGGCATTATATCATGTCTTATCTGAATCATAAAACTTTAAAAGAATATAAAACCCTAGTAGAGAGCATCCAGAGAATGAGGCATATAGAGAGGAGCTAAGGGATAGGGAAAGAAGACAGAAACAACTAAAAAGAGATTCTATCAGAAAAAAAAGTTTTAAAAAATGAGATTATTTAGCTTTTAGAAGAGAAAGCTCCAAAGGGGTTTAACTGGCTTCCAGTAATAAGCCTTTACATAAAGTTTGTGCCCTGTGTGGTAAGGGTAGGAGTGAGGGAAGGGGGGAGTGGAGATGGGAGTTGAAAGCAGAGAATAGCCAGAAATCAATGAAAGAATTTCAGTTGATATAAGGAATAATTCCTTGACTGTCAGGGAAATAGCTACAGGAGTGAGCTACTGGAGGGAAGCTATGGGTATGATCATATTCTTCATAGTCCTTCTTACAAAGGAAGAAGAGGCTTTGGGGATAGGGGGGAAATGGGGTAGCAGCAGTAGAAGGTGGAAGAGGTCTGCCTGAAGAACTCATTCCTATTTGTGATGATTGAGGAGCAGAAAATGGGGCCGTTATTATCCCAAGTGGTAACAAGCACTAGAAAACTTTAAGAACCATCACCAGCCCTGAAGGGTTAGACATTCACCTGCCTGTAGGTCTACCTTGTAAGGTAGAGGATTGGGTCAGATGATCTCCGGAGGTTCATTCATTCATTCATTCAACAAATAATTATTGAGCCCCTATGATATGGGCTGAATCAAGCACTGTGAATACAAAGAGCAATCCTGCACAGAGAAATGCATTGGAGAATACAAAGTTATAAAAGGAATATTCCCTCCTTTAAGGAGTTTATAATCTATTAGGGGGACAGAAAATATACACACAAATAAACAGTGCATGGCAGAATGTGATAGTGAAATTCCTTCTCTCTATTTCCATGATTACAATGAAGAACTTTCGAATTAGCCCCATATCCCAAAATGAAATAGACTACATTGGGAGTTAATGAGTTTCTCAGCCCTAGAGGACACTCACACTCAGGTTGGAAGACCACCTTCTAGGGATGTTTGGCAAGGGATTCATGTCCTAGGTAGAGGCCAGCCCAAGATGACTTCTATGATCTCTTTATGCTATGATTCTTTGATGCCATGATAGATAGTCTCAGGACTGTCATCCTGGCTGGTACTTGGAGCCAGACTCTCCCTACAAGTTAGAGAGGTGCCTAATCCTTTTTTCTTTTAATTGCAAAGTCTTCTAAGAGATTCTCATCTAAATGCTTCTGAGCATCTCAGCTTCTCACCCCCTCGGGATCTGAAGGTAAAGCAATCTGAACGGACTCTCAACTTTACATAGCAAAGCAGAGTTGGAGCTGTTGAACTGGTCCCACAGGATATCCAGTTGCCAAAATTAAAAAGTTCAAGGTCAGCTTCCCTCTGAGGAGAGAGCTTTCTTTCTAGTTAGAAAATGCACCAAGGTATCCGGCTAAGTATTACAACAGTAACAAGATAGGACAGAGGAGGTGAGGGGAAGGAGGAAAAAAAAAACATAGTGGTCCCTGAGCCCTTAGGCTGGTCCAACTGACTTTAGGTAGGTTCTCATTGCATTTTGAATCCTCAGGAAGCAAAGGACTTTCCTTGTGTAAGTTCGCAAAAGCTCATTAGTATCTACCTTGCATCTAGGATGGATACATGGCTGAATATTTCTCTTCTATAAATGAATACCTAGCACAGTGTTAGGCACATGGTAGACACTCAATAAGTGGTGGTTGGTTTTTTTTTTCTTTTAAGTTCTGATGTACCGATCTTTAGTGGTGTTTACAACTGGCTAAAAACCTTTTTGAAGGACTATAGATTTAGAGCTGAGAGGGACCTCAGGGATCATTGTGTCCAATCCCTTCATTTTACCAACAAGAAAACTGAGACCCATAGAGTCTATGTGCCTTGAACAGTGTCAGAGGCAGGGCTTGAAGCCAGCTCTTGCTGCTTCCAATGGCAGTACTCCACCCACTGCACTATGCTGGTCTCTTAAAGACTTACAGCAGGGGTTCTTTACTTGGGGGTCTGCAAACTTTTTTTTTTGAGGCAATTAGAGTTAAGTGACTTGCCCAGGGCCGCAGATCTAGTAAGTGTCTGAGACCCAATTTGAACTCAGGTCCTCTCAACTTCAAGGCAGATGCTCTATCCATTATGCCACCTAGCTGCCCCTGAGTCTGAAAACTTTTAAAAAAAACATCTTTTGGCACCTATATTTCAATATCATTGGCTTCCTTGGTAACAGTATTTTGTGTTTTATACATTTCAAGGCATTTTTCTGAGAAGGCATCTCTAGGCTTCACTAACTGTCAAAGGGGTCCATGATGCAAAAAAAAAAAAAGTTAAGAAGCCTTAACCTAGAGAAAAGTCTCTAACTTTTTCTGAGAAATCAACTAAAGGACATGGTCAAGAATCACTGAGAAGAAGGCATAAATGGGATCCATTTTCACAAATGCAGCGAGTATCTACATTAAGAATATTACATATCTATCAAAGTATAGAGCTGCTGTTTCATGGCTATGGTTCTCAAATAACTGCATTTTGGTAGAATTTTACATAAACATCCTACAATTTATACCATTTACCCAGTGGCCTTTAGGAATATACATCTATTCCTGTGGGTTTCCCTTCTCTTTCTTCCATCTTAAAAGCAGCATGGATATATGTGCTACTTAATTACAAACATTCTTGCAGATGGCTTTGAGTTCCTGGAGATCTTGAAACAAGTTGCCAGGGACAATACCAACAATCCTGACCTGAGCATAGTATGGATTGACCCAGATGATTTCCCAATGGTAAGACCTTTATTCTCCTTTGTAGTCTAATATTTGTTAGCAATTTTGGTGCCTGAGGCAAGTGCCATGAAATACGCCCTCAAATAAAAATTTTAAAACAAAACTTCAATTGGTAGGGGTGGAGGAGTAGGCAAGACTCCAGGACACTATGAGGCAGCTACTAGGCATGGGAAATTGTGGGGTGGGAGGGTAAGAGGTAAGGGCAGGGCTCAGGAGAAACTGGAAGCATAAACTAATTGCTTCCTATTTTAACTAATTATTCTTATTAACTAGTTGCTAAATTTAGTTTTTGGGTTTTTTTCTACCCTTCTACTGTAGGAGTGTAAGGGCTATCAGCACTCTCAAATTATGGTGTCCCCTGGCAAGGCCCTTGTTGTGCTGCCTTAGTTAGCTGCAGAGTTCTTTTTCTTAAGGGATGGAGGGAGAAGGGGTACACAAACATGAAGCATAAGAAGAGTGAAACAAGAAAGATCATCTCTGTACACTGAGTCGGGGTGTTGGATCTCAGATGGCCTGTGACACTGAGTAGTGTCTTGGTTATCAGGGACAATTCTGAATTCAGTGCCTTGCAGAACAAGGAAGTTGGGTTGGCAGAAACATTCATTCCTTGGATGTCAGAAGCTGGAGATGCTCTTTGGGCCCCTAAAACAGCAGCTCTCAAGTTTTTTTTAGTTTCAGGACCTCTTAAAAATTAATTGAAGACCCTCTCCTCCCCCAAGAGCTTTTGTTTGTATGGATTATGGCTATTGATATTTGCCATCTTCAAAATGAAATACTATGAACTTGTGATGAAAATGGTTTTGTTATTATAGTAAATAATATTATTATGATAATAGTTTTGACTTTAAGGATCCTCTGAAAGGGTTTCGGGGACTTCCAGTCCCCACTGCCCTAAAGTATGGCCTTGGAAGGCAGGGGCAGAGGAGAGACACCAGAGAACTCTTCCCAGCAGCTAGGGGACTCTTTTAGAAATTATTTTTTAAGTAGAGGAGCATCACACTGAGGCAACCTGAGCAGGTGAGTGAGGGGGAGCAGACATTCTGTTCTAGACAATTGTTCTTTGGAATAGACATCAGGATGTTTTGTCATTATCCTGGAAGTTCTTTTCAGTTTCTCTACTAAGCATCTATGTGTTCCCCTAAAGGCCAGCCAAGTCAGACGTGGACCTGGGGAGTCTGAGGTAGCAGCCACTGCTTTCACTACTCATGGGGCCTTATGGTCTCCACCCAATTTCCCCCTACTCCCACTTCCATCCCAGACACAATAGGCCTGAGTGTTATTTCCTCCTCACAGCTACCTTTCTGTGGAGTCTGGAGAGTAGGGGGATGGGAAAGGGAGAGCTAGAGTTCCCTTGGGGTCATCCTTTCTAGGCATCTGACCTCCCGGGCCCCCAGAGAGACTTTGGCCATAAACCTGGTGAATAAACAGTGTCAGTGAAGTGAGTATTAGAGAATTTTAGATTCAGCCCTGGGAGGACCTCAGAGGCCGTTTGGTTTAAGTTCCTCACTTTATAGAAGAAAAAAACTGAAGGAATGAAGCACTTTTTTCACTTTGTCTTTGTTTTCTTTTTCTTTTGCAACATGGCTAATATGGAAATGTTTTGCATTTCTTCACATGTATAAGTGATATCAGATTGTTACCATCTCAAGTGTCAGGGAGGGGAACTTGGGAGGGAGAGAATTTGAAACTCAAAAATTTTTAAAATGAATGCTAAAATTTTTCTAATTTAAATTTTAAATAGAAATGTAAAATGTAGCTGGAAATTTAAATTTTAAATAGAAAGTTTAATTTAAATAGAAATTTTTATTTTAAATAAACATTTAAAATGTCTAATTTTCTCATTTCTAATGTAATTGGAAATATTTTATGAAACAAATAAAAATATATTTTCAAAAAAAAAGAAACTGAAGCACAGAGAGGCTAATTGCCTTGTCCGATCCCACACTGTGTAAGCTCTGTGGCCCTAGGCAAGTCACTTAACCCTTAACCTCAAATGAGGATAATGATAGCTGAATAAAGGTTTGTTGAGAGGATTAAATGTACTTTGCAAACCTTAAAGTGCTATATAAATGCTACTTACTGCTATTGTTATTGTTACTATGTAGTCCTGAAGCCTCCGACTTAAAGCCAGGTCCTCCTTGATCTCTAAATCCTGCATTCTTTCCCCTGTGCCAAATTGAGTCTCATTGCCTTCTTTCTCCCTCCTCCTCCCTGGTTCATCCTTCGACCTTGTCCAACCAGGATGGGCATAAAGGAAAACCTGCCCAACAGTCCTTCTACCCTCTCACCATGAAAAGTGCAATAAGTACCCCACCATGATAAGCCAACACTTGACATTTTCTTCTGCTTCTTCCCCCTTTCCCAGTCCCCACCTTCTCTTTTTCCTCTGGTGAAGGGGTAGGCAGGCTCTAGAGGCCATAGCCATACCAGAGTTAGAAAAGGCACCCAGGCTCTACGTGAGTCAGCTCCATTATTTCCAGTACCTACTCTTGCCTTAGGAAAGACAGAGAGGAGACGGCAAATAAATTATGAGAAGCCTTCAGCCTAGGACTGAAGGGCCTATATCTTTGCCTCTCTGTGTATAAGTCACAGCCGAAGTGCAAATACTGATGGCTGTCAACAGCAGGCAGCTTTGCTGGCCAACATTCAATCTAGTAATGAATACCTGGGTGTGTCCCCAATGCACTTGAAGTTCTAAAAACAGTGAGTCTTGAACAGTGCTAACAAATGTGGCTTATTCTTCCAAGTCTGAACAACAGCCAGATCCAAAGTTCATTTGGTCAAGTTGATTTAAAAAGAAACAAACAAGCAAAAAAAAAAAAAGGACAATCACTGGCAAGATTTAGAGGCCTCCAGAGAGAGAATTATCAGAGTTATGACATCAGTGTCCCAGTGATGGGTATTAATCATGGAAAAAAAATACATATCTTAGCACTCTTTTCTTCCAGATGAAATAAAGCTTTATTAAACTTCTTTCAGCTCTAGCTCTGGCTTAATTGAACTTTTCTATATCTGGAGGTCACCCCTCTTCAGCACCCTTCAAGCTCCAAATAGCTACCTTGGTCAATACTCAACAAGGAAGGCTTCTGAGACATCTTTCCAAACCATTCACATTTTAATGTATTTTCATGATACCCAGTTCTCAGCAGTTTAGTCTTGCAATGTTATACAAGAATTTTAAATCTGTGAGTCACCTATACTGGCCTTGATTCTCCTCAGACCCTAGATCTTCCACTGTTCCCCACAACTCCATATCTTCACCCCTCTCATTTCCAGATTTTCATATTCTACCCCTAGACTGGGAATAAAGCAAGCAAACAAGCATTTCTCCAAAGCCAGTCCAAGAGATCCAGATCCTTTTAGCTTCTGTCATGCCAAAACATAGTCAATCTCTCTGGATACTGGACTTTGGTTATTTCCCTATCTAAGGAATAAGGAATTTTCAAATGTCACATTAAATGAGAGACAGAGACAACATCTCATTTCACTATCCTTTAATTCCCAGAGTGCCACATATCCCACGTGAATGAACATTGAGCTATGTCAACTGTATACTGTAATTATACTAATCTGTTCCTGTATTACATATATACTTATATCTTTTTAAATGTGTTCCTCCCATTTCCTTATATATTAGAAATGCCTCAAGGGCTGGGATTGTATCATTTATTTCCTTTGACCACTCAGTTTATACCCAGGATTGGTGAAAGAGAATCTTTGAATGGGTTTGACTGGCTACTGGGAAACCATGTGAGATTAGCTGCAGAACAGCAGACTAGTCTAGCTCTGTCCAGTGGTTTTGGTGATGGAAAGTTTATTCTGTCCCCTAAGTGTATTTTTTGTTGTCACAGCTCATTGCCTACTGGGAGAAGACGTTTAAGATTGACCTGTTCAAGCCTCAGATTGGAGTAGTGAATGTAACAGATGTAAGTATCATACACAAGAGGACAGGGTAAGAACCTCCTACTTATATTGGTCTGTGTCTGGATGTTGCCTGGAGAAGTCTGGTCCAGAGGTCATATAACATAGAAGTAAAAAGGATTTTAGAGGCCAATGAGACCCTTCACTTTGACTTGCCCTGGATCATATAGTTAATAAGGTAGAATTTGAATTTAGGCCTTGACAGATAGGGAGGGAGGAGAAGAAGGAGGAGGGAGGAGAGAGACAGGAAGGAAGGGAGGGAGAGAGAGAGACAGAGAGTGAGGAGACAGAGAGAGAAAGGGAGGGAAACGGGGGGGGGGGGGAAGAAAGAGAGAGGGAAGGAGGGATAGACAAAGAGGGAGGGAGGGAGGGAGGAGACAGACAGAGACAAAGAGAACAATTACTGCTTCTTCCTCCTCCTCCACAGTGCCAGAGCTCCTTGAGGCATGCCACTTGTAGTTGGCTGAGTTTTCCTCTCTAGCACCAGCAGCAACAGTAGGTGTAAATGCAGTCTTGGCCACCAAGAGAATGTTGTTTCTTCTGCCTCAAGCTAAGTAGGGATAGCTGAGACAGAGGGGAAGGAGCCTTTCCAACCTCTCTTCTCCCTGGAGCAGGTGAAGAACATAATTGTCCTCTTCTGTGCCCAAGGATTGTCTGTAACTCAAATCCCGCTAGTTTGAATTATGACCTGGGAAAGGAAGTTGGGAAAAGAGGAGGGATGCTGTCTAGGGTCTTGCTGATACAGAGTTAAAGACCTGCATTTTGGAAACCCCTGACTCTTTGAATGTACAGAGCTCCTCTTCCAAGCGTAAGCTGAGGGAAATCATCTGGATAATTCAGGTCCCTTGAAAAACTCCCACAGATTTTCACATGAATCACAGAAACAAAGAGAAAGACTGGAAAGCAGAAAGACTCTATTGACTGGCAATATGGAAGCCCAGACAAAGTTACAGGAGGCCAAAAGGATGAAAGCTGATAGTTATTGCAAAGGATACAGACAGAATGGCCCTTTCTGAGGCAGTAGCCCTTGTGAGGTGGGGTAAATTGATGCCCCAAGAAAAGGTTGGCTGACCCTTTTTGAGGGTGTTATAAAGGATATTCATGGATAGGTATGAGTTGGACTAGAAGTCTTCTGGTGTCCTGGCAGACTCTGAGCTGATCCAAGTCTCACAGTTTCCTGCCTGAAGAGATGGTATTTAGTTAGCCAGAAGCTTCAGACATCCTCCTTGAACATGTATTGTATTCTCTGCCAGCCAGGACCACTTACCCCAGTCTGTCCTCTGTTGCTTCCACTCTACCGTCCATTAACTCCCATTGTTTCTTTATCGTAGGCAGACAGTGTCTGGATGGACATAATAGATGATGATGACTTACCCACTGCTGAAGAGCTAGAAGATTGGATAGAAGATGTACTTTCTGGGAAAATAAATACAGAGGACGATGACGATGATGCTGAAGATGATGATGACGATGATGATGATGAGGATAACTCTGGAGAAGAGGATGATGACGACGATGATGATGACAGTGATGAGGAAGATGATTAGCTGTCATGCTGAAATTCTCACAGACACAGAACCATTTTTATGCATTATCCTTTAAAGACAGAATGGGAGATAGGAGCAGACAGTCCCAAAGAGATCCTTCCTTTATTTTTAAGACCTCCTTTTCTACTCCCTTATTATCAAGAATAAGAAAACTCAGGAATTCCTTCCTAATATAATGTGAGGGATTGCTGGTGAACATAGGTTGGGAACAGGAGAGTGAGAAGGGGGAGGATAGGGAATATGTCTGGTTCTAATTTCCAGACATCCCAATAGGACAAGAAAAACCACTCACACTTTACTGCAGTTAGCAACTTGTTTCTCTTACACCCAAATTACAGAGATTATGACAGTGCCAGCATCTGGCTCTCTTGAGGACAAAGGTCCCCTCATATCTATTCTCAAGCGTACTTTTTGTAGTTGACTATGACAATAACAGAAATCAGGTTTTGAAACACCCACCAATCCAGAGTAATCTTAGAATCAGATGCCATGGGAAATACTCCTTAATTAATTTAGGAGTATACTCCTCAATTAGGTAAATACTCTCAATTAGTTTAGAACCCAAACTCAAGACAAGCCAAATATGGTTCATGCTCATGGAAATGGGTGAAACCCTGAAACTTGTAACTTTGCTAAATAGTTCATTTATGATAGTTCTTTTTTCAATATTAAACCATCTACTTTATTGGATAGTAGTCACAATATTGGCACGTTTCCCATCCCACCCTCTTTTCTATATCCTTCCTTTCACCTCAAAAGCTCTGAGGATGAGCCAGATATAATCTTATCACAAATTATGTACCTTTGTATGCCTGTAGTTTCTTCTCCATCATTGCATTTTTTTTCCTTCATGGTAAAAGCTGGTTGTTTTTCTTTTTTCTGACATCCTATCAAACTGAACTTTCTATTAATTAACACTTCTACACATCTTTAGTGCAATCAGAATCATGATTTATAATCATGACCCTGAAACATGGTGAGATCCAGAAGCGCCTTCTGAATTATCAAAGAAAGCTTAAATTATGTTCAGCATAGCTGTAGTATTTGTGTTTTAAGCCTCTTCTAATTCTTTGAAAATTGGCAACTCATCTATGAAGGCTATTAGCCAAAATATCTTACTAACGAGAACTGTTCCACACCCAGTCATTCTGGGAAAACAGAGTTAGCCCTATTTCTGCATACGCTTCTCTGCTGTGTAAGACTCTGGTGGACTGTCCCACAATTTGATGTGTATACTTTTCAAGATCCGCAGCTTGGCATACATACTGGGAGGCTTCTAAGACTACCTGAATGTCAGCAGAATGTCATTTGGACTCTTTGGGAAATGAATCAGCAAAATAGTTGTTGAAGCTATTATTCTAACTGGGTTTTGGTCCGTGAGCCTATTTGGCCTCTATATCTGGGATGATACTGACTACTCTTTATCTTTGGACTTTCATTCTCAGGGGGTTCTGTTAAGCTGTGGCCCCCTCCACAAACATACCACCATTAAATTATGTCACTGTGTCAGAGCTCTGGGGCATTGTAAGATGACTGTGGAGGAACAAGTAAGAATGACATTAAAAGCACCATCCAGTATATGTATGACCGGGAAAAGACCACGTATGTGCCTCGTTGACATGAGAAGAATCAGAGAATGGCTTCCAGGGCATTGAATGGGTTCTTTTCAGATGATTTAGGGAAGAGAGGATACAAAGATGTGGTGGGGTTATAATCTGCATTGATGAGCTCATGGACCCATTAAAGGATCAACAGAGTCATGCCCCAATTCTTTTCTGTCTTCTTTTGTTTTCCGTTGGGACCTCAGACCAACAATTAGTCTTGATCATTCTCAAGAGCTGAGTATAACAAAACTTTTCAATCAAAGCAAGGCAATGTTTTTCCTGTTGTCCCTGGTAGTATGTCTGTGTGCAGGCATGGGGCTCCAGTAATTTTTTCCCACCCAGTGAAGCCTAGAATAGTGATTCCTCTAGTCTCCTTTTGGAAATAGTAGCCAGGATGATAAGCATTAGGATGATAGGGCTACCCATCATGTTTTGGAAAATGGTTCATTGTTTTGTTGTCAAGAATGGGTAAAACTTTTAAATTTGTCTGTAAGAATAATAATCCTATTTTAAAATTTCAAATTGGCTTTTGTCATCTTTATACTAAGACTGTGCCTTCATCATTACTTCATTTCCTTTGAATCTGTGAGGTCATCTTTTAACTGAAATCACTAAGTGCACATTAATAACACGCTTATTTATGGCATAGTGGAAAAAGATTGGATTTGGAGTCAGACATCCCGGATCTTAATCCCAGCTCTGATACTTTCTGTGTACCTGTGGGCTGCCCTATAATTTAGTCTCCTCATTTATAAAATGAGAGTAATCTTACACTAGTGTTTTCATTTTTTGGAAAAACAAGAAGGGATGAGCCTATCGTTCACTTGAACATAAAAGCCTTTAGGTTCTGGGTTTTCTCTCTTGTTTACTGGAATTTTACACCCCTTGGAATCCCATTTGGGAAGCCTGTTATGAAGAAATTCAGATTGTTGGGAGGCCTCATCATATTAGTCTCTAATATGTCTCTAGCTCTGCCTAGAAATGGCACTAGGTAAGACCTTCCATTAAAGGATTCTATTTCTGGCCTGAGTTCCTGGAGCATTTGGTGGGAAAGCATGGCAGTCTCTTTCTTCAATGTCAACCTCAAATATACTGCTTTGAATAATAGCCCAATAAATTCACACGAACCCCTCCCGAATGTTAGCAGCCTTGTCAGAGAAGTATCCAACCTAGGTATGAGGGAGAAAAATGGCCACATTGAAAGATGGTCCTCTGGCCTGAGAGATGCCTTTTGGTAACAGGGCCTTGTTTCTATGAAGAACTTTCTCCCTAGAGCCATCTGAGGGGTGACATGCCACAAGGCAGGAGAGAAGCAAGGGTTCAAATCCCATATCAGACACAGATCATAGATTCAGAGTGAAAGGGATCTCAAGTCCATCACCTTCACTGTACAGATGAGGAAACTGAGGAAAGGGAAGGAGAAAGCAATAAGCATTTACACAGTATCCACTATGGGTCAGGCATTGTGCTAAGCCATTTTTACAAAGACTATCTAATTCAATCATCACAACAACCCTGAGAGGTCGGTGCTAATATTAGTCCCATTTTACAGTTGAGGAAACTGAGGCAGAGGTTAAGTGACTTCCCCAGGGTCACATAGCTAGTAAGTATCTGGATTTGAACTCGGATCTTCCTAACTTTGGGCCTGATGCTCTATCCACTGTACCACCAGCTAAGGCCCCCAGAGATTAATTGGCTTTCCCAAGGTTGCATATCTAATAAGTGTCTTAGGTGGGATTCACACCACAGTGCAAACAAGTATAAGTTCCACCCCCTCTGAACCTCAGGATCTTTATCTGTGCAATAAGGATAATAAATGCTAGCACTACCTACCTCTCAGGGCTGCTATGAAGAGAGCATTTGATAAATTTCAAGAACCATAGAAATGAGTTCTTAAATGTTATTCAAGTGTTTTCTCTGGTCCTAAAGACTAACCCTTGCTAAGAAGGAATCTACTTGCCTGCTGTCTGCATTGCTGACATGAAAAGATCAGTAGATAAGAAATGTAGGCGAGCACCGGGAAACGATGAGCTTCCTTGATGGAGTAATTCGCCTTCAGCTTTTCCCAATGTAAACATCCCAATCATCAAAACTAAACCCACCTACACCATTCACTGAAAATGAGCCTTGTGAAAAGACCCAAGTGTCCTACACCTTTCTCCCTCCTCTAGCACATCTCTGCAGCTGCATTGTCCACTTTTCAATTCTCCCCTAACTGGTGCAATGAGCCTCTCCTTCAAGACCCAACTCACTAGCCACAGGCTTCCTTGACCTCCTCCCCCAAGAATGTGTTCCCAGTCCTTCTGAATTTCTTAGGCCACATCATATACTACCTTCTGGTTTAGTGTCCTTGCATTCCACTGGAAGATTTCTGACTGCACAATGTCCTTTTCCATTTTTGTTGTGGGGGCACGAACCTTCCCAATCAGGGGTTTGCTTCTCACCATAGAAGTCACACTTAACAGGCCTGGGACCTACTTCTGGCTTGTTTCTCTTCCTCATGGAGGAGCCTGGAGCCATTTCTATACCCTGGCTCCTTTGTCCCAAAGTAGAAGGTAGAAAGGCACTAGTTCCAACTAGTAACTAGTATAGTTGCCATCAACAGAAGACAGAAGCCATGCAAGGGTGGATACCTGTCTAGAGCTGTAAGCAATGAGTAAAAACAAATTCTGACCTTTTCCCTAGATTTAGCTCCACTAAGGAGCAGTTCTCAGGCTAATACTGCAACTTATGGGAACTACAGAGGTCTATAAGTTGGGGATAGGGAAGAAATAAGAAAGATGATCTCTTAAGGTTGAACTTTTCTGGGTTCTTTACCATGTAAACACAGCCTGTGTAACTATCTGTAAGGTTTGGTGCTTTTAATACAAGCTGGCACTGCCAGTTGGAAACAATGCCAGATATCCAGGCTCTATTTTCATCTGGGTAAATAAGGGATCTTTAGGGTATCCTATGCATAAGAGACCAATGTATGAAAAACTGCCACATTTAAAAGCCCTACAAACACTATCCACTAGATTCTCTAGGGATCTAGAGAAATACCTCCAGCACTGTTGGGGGAGAATTTGTATCAGAATTACAGGATGGGATGTCCAGGTCCTTCACATCAGGAAGGAGCCGCCGATATAAGGATTCTGACACCATTTATAGCACCACAACCCATGTGCCTTGTGTATAGAAGGTGCTTGATAAATGAAATGTACAGAATTTATTATAGAGAAGCTATTTTATCTCTGAGTTCTGCATATGGGAAAGATGATTTTATCAACATTTCAATGTAAACATCATTCCTTTACAAGAAAACTTAACATGTCATGGAGCTTGTTAAATCTCTATTCTAATGTACACTGTCTAGATTATTCTAAATAGGTTTTTTCTTTAACCTACATCATGCAGTGGAATACAGTAGAAAGGGCTGGATTCGGAATTAGAGGACCCAAGCTGAAATCCCAATGTCACCACTCACTATCTGTGTGACCTTGAACAAGTCCCCTTACCTCTGTGGGTTTCAGCTTCCTCATCTATAAAAAAAAATGAGGTTTGGACTAGATGGCAAGGTCCCCTACCACTCTTTATCTAGAAGCCTATGCTTCTACCTTTAACAAAAGAATCATAATTTAAGTGAAAGCTAAGATCCCATGTTGCTTGAAAACCAACTACTTTTCAGGACAAAAAAAATTAAAAAAATAAAAATGACACTAACATATTTAAGATTTGTTTATTTTCCAAGATTTACAGTACAAAATATGCAAAGTGTAGAACATTTTAGTTTATTGGGAAAGGAGTGGAGGGTGGAAAAAAAAACAAACTAGGACTTGGGGACCCAAGCAAACAACCTCAGGGTACTAGACTTTTGTGTTCATCACAGACACTAACATTTTGCTACTAATTTCACAACTATAAAAGATTTCATTTGATAAAATTTATGATTGTAATTAAAGTTACATGTGCAGAAAGATGCTGGTTAGCATTGATTCATTTGTGTATATGTTGAAAACAAAAACAGAACTCACTTAACTCCAGACAGTCCGTGTTGGAAATGCACAATCAGGCTTTGTCATACCCAATGGACCCAATGGGTGGAAGGTGCAGTGGTTGTAAAATTCATTCCCAAGGAAGCCCTGGATTGAAGCTGTCTTTGCACAAAGGCTTGCGTACCTTTGGTTAATAATTGCTTTTGCTGGTGCTGGATTCTAAAGGCTTTAATCCTCTGCCCACAGAGTGGTAGCTTCAGTCAGGAGTGGCCAAGCTCATTCTGGCTCCTATGTGGAGGTGGCTACAGAGACACCAAATACAATGCAATTGCTCTTAGCTATGGACGGAGGATCATGTTTCTTTTGTATGCTCCCCCCTCCCTACTCCAGAGTACCAAATGCAATTGTGCTTCTCTTGCCCATAAGGTGTATGTATATGCACAAAAAATTGAGCAGAAATGAAATTTTACTTCAAATGCACCAGTGGACATTTCTTTTTAGGCATACCACAGTGAATCATTTTATAAATTGAATAAACTCTTCTTTGTCCCGTTTCCCCACTCCACCTCCCAAACCACCTTGGCAAATAATGGTCTTAGACCCTATGGGTTACCATGGTGAAAGACTTCATCACCAATGGCCAGCTTATTAGTGCCAAGCTGTCTTTACTGAGCACAGCCTGTGTGCTCTCCATTGGGACCCACAGGATGCTGAGAGGTCTGGAGGAATGCCACCAGCACTTCTGGGAGGACCCCTAGAATCAGAATTATAGAGTCCCACAGAATGGGCAGTCATGACTGGAGTGGGTGACCACATCCATGAGATCAAAGATCCATGGAAGTACTGGATTAGAATCTTTACATTTCAGGTTTTCACTTGAGGGGCCAGCATGCATGCATGTTCAATGCTCATTATTTCCTGACTAAAAACTGCTAAAATTGAAATGGGACCACTAAGTCTTTTTCATGTGGGTTACTGGAGTGGTTACTGGCACAGCTGCGATTCTGGGCCAGTCTTCACTCAACCAAAATGAGCCACCCATGGGGGAAATGCCTTGAGCCCCCATTAACCAATTCCCTGAGCCATACACAGCCCCTCCACCCCCACCTTAGGGTGGAAGCTGATAGGCCAAGTGTTATTTTTAACACAGCCTGATCAACTGTAAGAATGCAGAAATAAACACACATCAATACACACTCCACACACAAGACCAAAGAGGGATATACATTCATTTCCTTTTCACACAGACATTTCTCCAGAAGGAAAGGCCCCCTGAAGGGACAATGTTGGAGGCTGCTCCCATTTCTCCTCCAGTACTCAAGAAAAAGCTTCTTGTTCTAAGGGCTGCTTGTGGCAAAAGAATGAACTAAGGAACAGGATGTAATTAGTGAAGTTCCTTGAATTTCTTACAAGGGTAACTTTAGTTCATCCACAGATTATTAATTATTATTAATCAATTCACTTAACAAGCAATTCTGTAAGAGCTGGTTAGCTCAAGCTCCCCAAATGGGAAGGGGCATTTGTAAATCTGGGAGGTCTTAAAACTTGACCCTATTAAAAGGATTTATCTGGTAGGCAAGTGAACCCAAGTCCAAAAGATTGGGTTTCGGGATGGGATATGACAGTAGTAAGGAAGAAAGACTAGCAATAGAAAAAGTCTGCACATTCCAGAAACACCATTTTAGGCAGCAGTGTTAAACTCCTCCCTCATATAAAAAATAAAAAAACCAAACAAACATACACACAAACAACAATGAACTACAGTATACCTGCCAAACAATAGCAGAGCTCACAGATTTGACTTTGGCCTCCTTTTTTGGCTAAGTTAAACCAGTGACATGGCAGTGGGAAGAAGGGGGAAGGGGACAGGATAGCCTCAAAGCACTTGATCCATTGATAAAATGGGTAACAGAGAATTGATTCCATGAATTCCAAATCTTTCATTCTGATCTCCTCTTCTGTTCTTTAAACAGGTATGAGTTAACACCTTCAAGCTACCCAGAGGAAATGAGGGAGCCTGACTTAGTGGATATATTATGGGACTTGGAAGCCAGGAAGACCCAAATTCAAATCCCTCTTCAGACATGACAAGCTATATGACCCTACGTAGGTCATAACCTTTCTATGTTCCCATTTCCTTAATTATAAAATGAACAGAAGTTGAACTCAATAGCCTCTAAGGTCTCTTCCATCTCTGGACACCTATTCATATCTATGGATGGCTCATAGGAGATGCAGAAGGAAGAGCGATATTCCTCTGTTTTCCTGGGCACTCAGCCAGGCCTGCTCAATTCCCGTATTTATCCCTCTCCAGGACATGAAAGAGAGAAATAATCAGCAGAGTAGCACAGAAGCAGCCTGGGATGCAGAAAGGCACCAGGCTGACACGAAAGATCCAAGAGAGATGTTCTTCTCACCTAAGAGGAGACAGGAGGTGGGGCAGCACTGCTGTCAGGCGTGACAGGCCCAGCCCCTAGTTCACTGTGGGCAAAGAGCATTTATAAATTCTTTAAGGGGAAACTCAGATCTATAGCTCCCACCTTCAGGTCACCATGATCAAGCCAAACCTTCGACGTTGGCCTCAAGCAGCCATTCTTTCCTACTGGTCAAATAATACAAGGTTTTTTTTGTTTTCTTTTTGTCCTCGCAAAATTATTTTTGCAAAATAATTATTGACTATTTTTTAATGAAAATATCAGCCAAATTCTAGTGGTAGCTAGGTGGTACCATAGTGCACAGAGCCCTGGGCCTGGAGTCAGGAAGACTTGAGTTCAAATGCAGCCTCGGAAACTTACCAGCTGGGCAAATTAACCTCTCTGAGCCTCAGTTTCTTCATCTGTAAAATGGGGATAATAATAACACCTAACTCCCAGTGTTGCCATGAGGATCAAATGAGATATTTGTAAACAGCTCTGCAAACTTTAAGAGCTATATAAATGCTATTAATATTATTATTATCTACATCCAATTTTCCAAGTGCCTTAGGTCAAAGGCCCAGGTCAAAGCTAAACTTACAAATGTCTTATTTGATAAATTTTTCAATTGGTGGTTGTTTCATCTTGATTATATTCATAAAGCACTTTGCAAATCTTAAAAGCACTAGAGAAACATCAGCTATCATCCCACTGGGATTTTGTCATATGGTAAATTAATAAAGAGGCTATTAGATCACAGGAACAGAGACAGATGGTGTCTCACGGGTCACTCAGTCCAACCCATTTAAAGATGAAGAAACTGAAACCCACAGATGATGACTTGCCCAAGGTCACACTGGGAGTTAAGTGGAAGAGTCAGGGTTCAAACACGGACCCCTTTTCCACCATCATTCTGTTACACATTGACTTGTTCATCACAATTTTGGGAAGGGGCAAGTAATAAAAAAAAATCCAAGTACTGGAACCATGGACCACAGCCTCACTCAGCAATTTTCATGGTCTGGTCTATAACGCAGGGCTCTGTTATAAGTTACGAAGTGTGACATTTCCCTTGTACTTCCAATTGTAAATGATTTAGGACAAGTCATCAAATCCATCTTTTATGGGAGGGGAGGCAGTGTTCCTAGAAGGCTCCAACGTAATGAATGTTATACAATAATAGTAACCATTGTAATGGGATTTGGTCTCTGTTATATTTCACTAATATTAATTTTGTTAGGGTCAATTTAGAAACGTTCTACATGAGGCTGATTTTATTGGTTCCAAGTCTGCCCTCAGGGAATGGATTCCTATCCTACCTTGTTATTACTGGGGGAAATTTTGACTAGGCTTCAAATACTGGAAAATGGAAATGGAGGAGTGGGAAGAAATAAGTAGCAGGAGGGTAGGGAGGCATTATTTCGAAAACAAAATCATTGAGTGGCTTGTAAGTATCTCTCAAGGCATAGCTGGAGAACCACTGAGGGGGTGTACAAACACACAAAGGGAGATACAAATACGGATCCATGCATTCTTACCCATATACACATATTCTCACCTATATCCCATAGATATCCAGGTCTGTGTTGTCTTTCACATATACATTGGAATCACAGAAAGGAACAGACACAGACATTCAAATACAAGCATACTTGTTCTATTATGAAGAATTATCTTCTGTCCTTCTTGGGCTACAACAAAGTACTGTGTGCTGGGGGTACCCTTTTATCCAGCCCCAAATGGCTAAGAAATTCATTCACTCCATAAGCTATATGGCAGATACGTATGAAAATCAGTTTGCACACTAGGACATAAATGATATGGAGACACATGCATACACTCAGGGTTTGTGGGTAGATAGAAATGAATACACCTCCCTTTTGTGAGAGAAGAACATACGGATGGACAGAGGCCCAATCATGTAATAATAAATACCATCACAGCCCAAATCTCTGTGTAACATTCTCAAACACAAGCCAACAGTCAGCAATACTTGATACCAAAAAATTCTAGTTACACCAAAGAATGTGAGACATCCCCCTGCCATATACCACAAATGGATTTGGCTTACATACAGATTGGATAAAATGAGGGAGAATAGATTATTAGGTCGGTAACAGGAGTTGGGAGACCACCTGAGTGATCAGCAAAGCTATGGCAGAATAGAATTTAGAACTCAAAATTTTTTTAAAAAGTTAAAAAATTTGTTTTAACATGTAATTATAGAAAAATAAGATACTATATATTAAAAAATAAAAGGGATTTTAAATTAAAAAAAAACTATGACAGAATGCTGGTTTTCAATTTGAGCTAACAGAGGCAGTGGAAAGAACTCTTTACTTTAAGAAGCCTTGGGATCTAATCTCGGCTCTCTCACTGGCTATGAGCTGTTACCTTGGGTAAGTTCCTTCACCACCCTGGGTCTCTTTCTTCATAGAATGCAGAGAATGGACTAGATGATCTCACAGCTCGTTCCAGCTCTAAAAGGGAGGGATTCCATTTCTCTTGAGTTCAGTCCTTCAACTTTCTAAAAGTCAAATAAGGTCTTGGGTGCTCAGGGCAATACTAAGGAGCTTTAAAAATACAGTAGGGCTGGGAACACTCAAAAGATGGGCTGGTGCTTAAGTATGCCATATTGTGACTTGTATACTAAAGACACATTTGATTTTGAGTTATCCCTTAACAAATCACCAGGGGAAAACTAGATGCACAGAGTCTTCATAAAGTCTGTGAGCTGTCTGTACATCTCTACTTTGCAAACTTGACTGCTACAGTTAGTGGGTATGGCAGAAACTAAAAATGGCATCTAAAGGCAATCTGAAGCCTCTTTTAGCTGAACTACAGGATCCTTTACCCTAATATACATGTGTAAATATATACACATGTATGTATATATAATATACACACACACATATATATATTCCCAGTAGCCTTTTTTTTAAGTTGTCATAGGACTTGACAGGAGGATATACAAGAAAACTCTAACAGCTGTACTGTTTCAGCAAGTCTGTTTTGCAGTACCATATGCTAACTGTTTTCATTATATCTATTCCCTAAATGCTAACAGATACAAATTTAGTATCAAATATAGTGCAAAAGGACTTCACTTGATCATATCCATGAGAAACTCAACCCAAGTTAATCCTAAAAATCCAGGTTCCATTTTTTGAAAGTGATTCTTTAGAAAACCAAATGATGTCCTATATATGGTCTGGGTTCAAGAGTAAAACGAATTTCTCAGTTTCAGTCTTTCCCAATCATGCTGCAAATGCACAAATGATAGGGCTTCTACAGAGAGTGAAAAGGAACTCACCTGTCACTATCCTAAAGATGGGGAAATTCAAAGGAGAAACTGCACTAAGAGTGCACAGAAAGAAAGCCCAATTTAACTCCTTCCAGGTTAGCTATGAAAGGGCTGATTAATAACACAAAGGAATTCATTTTAAAGACCAGGATTTTTGTCTTGCCAGCATCCCCTTGAAGGGCATAGGATTCTATGGCCCTTTAAAAGGAAATGTGTTTACTATCCCACAGCTGCCCATCTATTCTGCACTTAGTACTAGAATACACCTTTATATACCAAGATAGAATTCCCACACCACAAAATATATTTCCTGAGAAGGTGACTGAGCATTTTAAGCAACTTCCAGTTTTGAGGGGACCTTGAGGGCAAAATCCCAAAGGACAGCAGCTCCACCTTTGAGTGATATGTATTTCCCATAAGCAGGGGGGTCCTAGGAGTTGAATAGTGGATTCTGACACTCAGCCAAGCCCCAAGGAATCCCTTTCTTCTTACCCATTTCACTGTAGAATTAGAACAATACTGCCAACCCAAGAACATAGTCCAATTTTCAGCAACTGGTGTCATGTAAACCTCCAAAGACATTTTTTTTAAAGTATACATAAGGTTCTGAACAATCATAGAAACATAAAAAACAGTGTTCTTAAAATCAATGCACACTGGACACCGAAACCATCTTATATAATGTAATGTAATGTAACAGAGGACCCAGAAAACCTGGCTGCAAAGCAATACTGAATGCTTTAAAATAAAATTGTAAAAGTCTGTGGCGGAAACATAGGAGCTGGAGGAAAAAGTTGCTTCTGCTCCAAGATGGCCCTGCCTGAGAGACACAGTGTTGAACAGCTTTGCACCGCCAGCAATGTCTTGACAGGGTCCAGCTTCTCTCAGCACCATGGCTGGTGATCAGCTAAAGACAGATCCTTCAGACACACAGCTGGGAAAGGAGTCCCTTGACAATAAGTTACATGTAAGTAACTAATTCTGATTCACTTGACCCCTCTCTACTAGTCCGCTCCCACTCCATCCTACCACAGAAATAGTTTAAAGACCATAAGAGGTGCCAAAACAGCTCCCCTTCTCCCTTGTAGTAATTAGAAGGCAAAAAGCCACACAGTGAAGATGGTCAGAAAATAAACAGGAATTGATGTAGTTAGCTGCCACATGGCTATGGTTTGATCTTTCTTAGCAGGGCAGCCTTGGAGGAAGGCTCTCTTGCTTTCTCAATCTCTCTCTCTCTCTCTCTCTCCTCCCCCATCCCAAAGCTTGATGACTCTCAGCCATACCTGTCCATGTCAAAACCACAGTCTATGTCTCTGGCACTCAATAGGTGCTTGTTGAATTTGAATGGAATTCTCCCACGGGTGGCCTTTCTCAGAAGAAGTAGGGATGTAGGACTGATGGTAGAGAGATTTATTCGAACATCTTCTAAGCAGCTATTATGAGTGTGTGCAAATCTACAATGGGGGCAGGTGAAGAGAGGCCATGGAGGCCTGTACTCAACGGCTGGGGCCTCACCCTACTTACTCCCCCCAGCTCCAAGGAGAAGAACCAGTAACGATAGCTATAGACCAAGGGGTGCTCCCATACAAGATGGAAGCAGCGTTGAGTAAGACAAGCAGAGCAAAACAGTTATCTTTGGGGAGCAAAGAAGAGGGGTAAGGGAAGGCAGGGAGGGGGTTTCAAACAATGCAAGAACCACAAACATAGTGCACTTATTCACTGTGATTTCTTTGAAGGATTTGAAGGCAGCAAAGATGAAAAAAGAAAGGCATTTTCTGTCATGGCCTATGGCCCACAATTGTGAAGCAGTGCTGGACCTTTACATACAATACAGATTGGGAAGACCAACTTCTCGTCTTTCCTGGGCCAGTCAGGGTCATCTCGTTCCAAGTGTGAGCTCTAGGCCCTGCACTGTTGGGTATACACCAGGAGTGTTACTGCGAAGAGAGGCGCTTCTCTAGGAACCTGTGGGTACACAAAGGGGACCCAGTGGGACAGAGTATGGAGAAGACATGGTGGAGGACAGGGGAAGGTGGGAGTGAATGACACTGAGACAGAGGACTAGCTGCTATAAGGCAAGGTTCCCACGAACACGCCAACTCCAATTTGGTTTACAGCTATCTATAAGACTCTGGCAAAAAAGTGAGAAGGCTTCTGTAGGAGAGTCAGCTACTGGAGCCATGCCTCCTGTTGTCTCTCTTCAGGACAGGTGTCCCTTACTTTCTTCCAAATAAAGTGCAGATGGTCAAAGAATACTGGTCTGTCACCTGCCAGTTTCAGTCAGCATTGGAGAAACCAAAACCAGAGAAAAATCCCACAATATAATATATATAGATATATTTTTTTTAAAAGCAACAAATATAAAACCTTTAAACTGATGTCTCAGATTGTAGACGAAGGACAAATTTGTGTGATTTGGGGTCTATGAACTCTTCTGAAAGCAGGATGAATGGGATTTTCTTCACATTAATTACAAGGCTGAAGTCCAAGCACTTAAGTAGAAAAACAACTCCATCCCTCAGTCCATTCGTGACAGCTTCTTCACTAACGAGTGTCCACTGCTTAGAGAACCATCGATCCTTGTCATACTGCAGGGTTGGGCCGGCATTGAGGTAACGTTCAAGGAATGCCTGAAGAAAACAGGAAATGCCCGTTAAGAGAAAATCTCATCTCCACACTGTTGCCTGGTTTTGTCTTTTTTAGTTAAGCTGCAATTTTTATCCCCAGAGACATCATATTTTTTTCCCCCAATCAAATAAGACATTTCAATTAGAACATATTCTTATCTCGTTTCCCTGCCAGTTCACTGGAACATACTGGGAGGGGGAGGGGCTGCCCCAGAGCCAACAACTGCAGATTTCCTCACTCTATTCTTCAATTTTTTTTTTTAAGAAAAGCTCAGGTGATGAAATATCATGGTGGAAAGAGAGTGACAGGTGATATGTGAGTACATGTTTACATGTTTGGGCAGATGCATGTTTAGGTTTATGTGATGGAAGATGGTACTGTGGGTGGCTGATTTGATGGACAAAGAGATGATGGAGAAAGAGAAAACCTGTAATAGCAAAGGAGACGTCACACAGGACAAACTATCACAGAAGGCTTGGAATTCATACCAACGAAAAATGTGCCTATATCAAGGAAATCATGAATCTGTATAAATATTTACTCTGTATATATATTCTTTCACATATATATATATATATATTATGTATGTATGTATTTGCATATTATTTCCTCCTTTATTTTAAAAATTTATTTATTTACTTTTAGTTTTCAACATTCACTTTTATAAGATTTTGAATTCTAAATTTTTCCCCTTTCCTCCCCTCCCCAAGATAGCATGCAATCTGATATAGGCTCTACACGTACAATAATATTAAACATATTTCTACATTAGTCACATTGTGAAAGAAGAATCAGAACAAAAGGGAAAAATCATGAGAAAGAAAAAGAGAAAATAGTATGTTCTGATCTGCATTCAGACTCCATAGTTCTTCCTCTGAATGTGGATAGCATTTTCCATCATAAGTCTTTTGGAATTGTCTTAGATCCTTGCATTGCTGAGAAGAGTTACGTCTATCAAAGCTGGTCATCACACAATGTTTTTGTTATGGGGTACCATGTTCTCCTGGTTCTGCTCACTTCACTCAGCATAAGTTCATCAACTCTTTCCAGGTTTTTCTGAAATCCACTTGCTCATCATTTCTTACGGAACAATCATTTCCCCCTTTAGGTTGTAAGCTCCTTGAGGGCAGGGACTGTCTTTTGAATTTTTTTGTATCCCCAGAATGCCTGGTACATAGGAGGTGTTTAATAAAGGTTTACTGATTGACTGATTGACCCACTAAGTTCACAAAAGCAACACATACTAACATAGCGGCAAGGTGGCACAGTACAGCACTGTGCCTGGAGTCAGGAAGATCTGAGTTTGAATCCTGCTGGATGTGTGACCCTGGGCAAGTTACTTAACTTTCTCTGCCTCAGTTTCCTCATCTATAAAATGAGGATAATACTACTACATACCTCACAGGGTTGTGAGGATTAAATGAGTTAACATACGTAAAACACTTTTCAAGCTTTAAAGTGCTACATAAATGATGGATTTAAACACTAGCTAAGCAAGGTTGGAAATCACTGTCCTATCCCATAGATATGTGGATACTTCTTTTGTTATAAAAATAGACAATATTTGCAAAAAAAAAAGGCTCTAACCTAGCACTTCTTATTAATGCCACAACACAAATGATTTTAGGATTAGAGATGAAGGAGTCTCACATTCACTGATCTGTCTCTAGTTAAGGATGCTCCTAAATGGTTATCATTACCCTCCTTCCTGCTGTATTTTCATCTCACTCTATTTCTGACTGACAGGGGACACTAGAAAGCAGAACTGAAGTATATCGGGGCCACCAAAACATTTTGGGTCACTTTGTTTGGGCTTATTTTTGTTTGTTTTGTCCCCAGATCTCTTGGTAGGACTCTCGGATTATCCACAATTGTATTCAAATCCTTAGTCCTACGGCTTGTGTATAGTGAGGTCAGTCCATCTTTGTATACTCAACACACTGTAATGTGGTGAATAGAGGGGCCATCTTCAAAGTCAAGGAGAGCCGGGTTCAAGTCCCAACTACACCATGTAACAGATGAATGTCCCTGGGCAAGTTAATTAATTCCTTGGTGGTGCAGGTCAAACTGTAAATTACAGAACAGTTCTAGATCTATCTTAGAGGAAGAGGTTTCTTCACTAGCTCTTTATCCTGATGATGTGACATTTCTGAACCAAGAAGATGCCCTAGGACAGTTCAAAGTCAAGAAGAAGAGGCTCTGAGAGATGATGTATTTAAATAACTGCTGAGATCATTGTGGAGAGGGGGGAGTTAAGAGGGGGGGTGGAATCATTTTAAACCACCTCTTTAGAGAGGTAGATGACCACTATCTAGGACCACAAAGAACTTCAGCTCCTTTGATGTAAACATCTGGGGAAACAAGCTGTGGTCTCCCCAGTGGATCTTGATTAGGATTCTCCAGATATTGTCAGTTGTGTTCAAATCACTATTCCCACAGCTTGCGATGATAGGGAAGTTGTTTTTCCGTTTTTCTGTTGACTCTGTTGTCTTTAAGTTTCTACTCCGTGAGAAGCAGCTGGTAGCCTACATCAGGGCAAGGGGAGTATGCTGTGTTAGGATCTGAGGAACAGAGTGTGCTCTATTGGCCCAGAAAGGTCTAAAATACCATGATAACAGACACAGTGAGGACATGGCAGAAAGGCTTCTGGAAGGTGAAGAAGGGAAAAGGACCACTTTAGGGCACGGACATGGGGATCAGATTTTCATCAACCAAAACAAAGAACAATTTAACAGTGACAACCAGCAAAGATGTGCTAACAACTGTGGTAAGAAACTTCAAAAGGTGAAGCGGAAAGGAAATAGAAGAGGAAATAAATGAGGAAGAACTTGGTTTCTTCCCACATGAAGGAGTCAAAGAAGCAAGTTCATCAGTGTTGAGAGTAGTAAGAGAAAAGAAAAGCTTCTCTCAGGCTTAGGTGGGGAGCCATCAACCAGGTCAATAATACCTCTATACACAAGACTGTTAATTACAGAGACTGCCTGCACCAAGCTCTCATGTTCATTTCTTTAATTAGAGAGGTAGGTGGGCATAGTAGAACAAATTCTGGCTCTAGAAGCTAAGGTCCTGGGTTCAAATCCTGCCTGTGACACTTATAATGTGACCTTAAGAAAGTCACAACCAGGGGCAACTAGGTGGCACAAGTGGATAGAGCTTCGACCTTGAAGTCAGGAGGACCTGAATTCAAATCCAGCCTCAGACACTTGACACTTACTAGCTGTGTGACCCTGGGCAAGTCACTTAACCCTGACTGCCTCACCAAAAAAAAAAAAGTCACAACCTCCGAGGACCTCAGTTTCCTTGCCTATAAAATTAAGGGGTCAGACTAGATGGCCTCTGAGATCCTTTATAGTGCTAGATGTCTGGTTTTGAGATCCCATGATACCCACTGACAAAAACATGCCCATACTGAGATACACTCATACCCAGCATGCCCTCCTCACCAATAACGCAGGGCTTTCATAGCCAAATCAAGGTAACAAGAGCTTCAGTGTAAAGGATGGACGGGTAGATGGTCACCAAAGTGCATATAGGCTTCAATATCTTAGCATAATTGAAGCCAGACTTAAAAGGTCTATTTGTTATTGTTTTAATGATGTGTTATTTCTCTTTTCCTTTTCCTTCTTTTCTCCCTCTGTCCCTCCTTTCTCACTTTTTTGAGACTGAGTTAATTTTACTGAGGCTGAAAGCACAGTGGCCACTCACAGACCAATCCCTCTGCTAACTGGCTGTGTTGGTCCATTCCTCCTTAAGCAGCCTGGTACACAATTTCCCTCCCTTAGGGGTTTGGCATATTTTTGTTGTTCAGTTGTTTTCCAATTGTATCTCTTTGTGAGCTCATTTGAAGTTTTCTTGGCAAAGATACTGGAGCGGTTTGCCATTTTCTTTTCCAGCTCATTTTACAAATGAGGAAACTGAGACAAACGGGGTTAAGTGACTTGCCCAAGGTCACCAAGCTAGTTAGAGTTGAACTCAGGAAGATGAACCTTCCTGGCTCTAGGCCTAGCACTCTTTCTACTGTGCCAACTAGCTGCCCTGCTCACCATATTAGTGCCAGACTTATTACAGACACTCAGTCAGTCTGAGCTTTACTACATCTCAGCCCTCCCAAGCTCAAGGGAGCCCAGCCTCAGCATGGCCCAGAAGCAGAGTTCACAAGTGTGTGTATGATCACACCCAGCAACAGCTTTTATTTTTAACTGACTTGGTTTTTTTAGAGCTTTGCTTGATGCTCTAACGATCCCTACCAATTCGGAATGGTGACAGGGATGTGCTGGATCATTATTATCTACATTCTCTGAGTAGAGTGTAAGCTCTCTGAGGGCAAGGACTGACTCTTCCTTTTTGGTCTTTGCACCAAGCATGGTGCCCAGCACCGAAGCAGGCACTTAATAAATACTGGCTAAATGGGATCAAATATCACTGGAGGTTAGAAACAAAAAGGAAGCCATCTCAGCTGTGTAAGCAGCCAAGGGGGCAGGACGGCTCAGTACCTTGGGGGTCATGTTGTTGGTGATGCAAAAGGCCAGGTGCTGCAGGATGCTCTCCATGGTGTGATAGTGCTGCTGCCGGGTGGTTCGCAGGTACTTCTGCAGGGCCCGGGCCATGGATGGGAAGATGGCTTGGGCTGCCTCTCTGGGGTCCATCACTTCTCCAGGGACCTTCTGCTGCTCTTCCGCCTGGAGACGGCGGATATGAATGAAGGCCTCCTCCACTGCAACCACCAGCCTGCAGGAGCACAGGAGTCAATGCGTAACTTAAACAAGACCATCTCTAATCTTGCAGGAGGACTGAGGCTATTTTCAGTCCCCACTCCTCCCTTCTTAATTCCTTATCTCCACCTCCCTCAATAGACACAAGTGTTAGCTTCTGTGATTTGCCATCTTTATCACCCAGCAGTCTCTTTGGCAAATAGCAGGATGACAGTGAATAAACTACTGAGCCTGAAGTCAGGAACAGATACTTACTAGTTGTGTGACCTTGGACAAGTCACTTAACCTCTGTCTGCCTCAGTTTCCTCATCTGTGAAATGGGGATAATAATAACACCTACCTCCCAGGTACTGTAAAACACTTAGCACAGGGTCTAAAACATGGTAAGTTCTATGTAAATGTTAGCTATTGTTATCATCATCATTCCTAGCAGTCTCTTCGGCAAACAGGTAGGTGGCATAGTGAATAACGCAGTGGATCTGGACTCACGATGACCTGAGTTCAAATCCTGCCTTCAATACTTACTAGCTGTGTAGCCCCGAGTAAATCAGTTAGCATTTGCCTGCCTCAGTTTCCTCATCTGTAAAATGTGGATAATTGTAACTTCCTCCTGGCAGGGTTGTCATAAGGATCAAATGAGATAATATTTGTAAGGCGCTTTACAAACCTTAAAGCAGGGCAGCTAGGTGGCACAGTGGATAGAGCTCTGGCCTTGGAGTCAGGAGGACCTGAGTTCAAATTTGGCCTCAGACACTTGACACTTACCAAGTGTGTGACCCTGGGCAAGTCACTTAACCCCAACTGCCTCACCAAAAAGCTAAAACAAAAACAAATCTTAAAGCACTATATAAATGCTAGCTATTATTTTTCATAGTTATCATTATTAATTACTTAGAGAAAAGAGCCTAAGAAATCTTTAAGAAAAAGACTGTTGAACTGGTTGCTATCATAGGGGCATGGCTTGGGATTCAGAGTAGAAAGGGACCTTCCAAGATCATCTAGTTCAGCATCTTCAGCTATCAAATAAGAAAACTGAGACATTGAATGGCTGGCTACCAAACTGCATGACTAGCATGAGAATGAGTCATCATTAACTGGCCTCAGAAAAATATTCAGGAGAAAGGACCATGGAGCCAATTCCAATGAATCAACCTGAGAGTTCAGGCTCTCCCCAAGCAGGCACAAGCCCACCCTTTTTAGCTTTATTAACTATTATTATTTTCCCTATGCTCTCTACTCCAGCCCAAATCAACTACTCCATAGCCCCCAGAGGACATGTAAGGCTTCCCCACTCACAGTGTTTTTGTACACACTGCTTTCTATGCCTGGACTGCCCTTCTCTTGCCTCAATCTCTTGGATAGCCACCTAGCTGTTGAAGTCCAATGACCCAGGGCAGCTAGGTGGTGCAGTGGATAGAGGACTGGCCCTGGAGTCAGGAGGACCTGAGTTTAAATCTTGGCAAGTCACTTAACCCTGACTGCCTCACCAAAACAAACAAACGAAAAAAGTACAACGACCCCCTCTCCCAGAATGCCCTCTGATCTTCTCAGTCAAGAATGAGTTTTTAATAACCACCCTGTTGACATACTCTCCCTCTGAGATATTTCCACATATTTGTGATTTCATTAGTTCAGTCCAGTTCAATCAGCATATATTAAGCACCTACTTTGTACCAAGAACTGTGTCAAGCACCAAGGACACAAAGGATGACCTCAGGAGAGGCTGCATTCTACTGAGGAGGGGTGGGGGAACATGAACACAGGTAATAATACAAAATATAAATACAATTTGATTTCAATACAAAATGTATGGGTGGGATGAGGGCAAGAGGAGTGCCAACAGCATCGGGAAAGGCCCCCTGAGGGAGTGGGGCAGACACTTTTGTCTGGGAAAATGAGGCACAGGTGAGGGGGGAAAGCATTCCAGGTGGGTAATGGAATGGTAGATGCCTTGCCAATGAAGAGCTGGGAAACATTAAAAAAAAAAACACACACACACACCGATTCCTTAAACCTTGTATTTAAGGCTGTGCTGGCCAGTTTCCCAGGGTCTAGGGAACAGAGAATAACAATGATTTGTCAGAAATGAATTTGAGCCACAAGGTCAGAGACAACTGTGTTTAACATCTTCTTAACCAGAGATAGCAGTGCACCCCAACAATATTAAAATGTAATTGGGAAATATCTAACAAACAAAATAAATAAAAAATACAATAAAACACAGATAATGTTAAACACACACACACACACACACACACACACACATATACACACACACACAGAAAAAAGTCCTGAGCTCCTACAGAGAGGGGACCTCACAGGTTATTCAATAAAGCCACTTCATTTTACAGATGAGGAAATAGCTGCCCAGGGAGTGAAGTTACTGAGTCAAGGACACACAGTTAGTAAAAGTCCAAAGGTATGACTCGAATCCCGGTCCTTTGTATGCAAAGCCTAAGGCTTTCAGGCTGAACAATGGAGTTAAGGGAAGAAACAAGGGGGAGGAGACAATGTCTCCATCTCTTCTTACTTTCACCCTCCCAACCCCCTCAGGGAAAAGCTGTCATATCAAATAACAGGAATCCGTAGAAAGTAATGAGCCACTTCAGAAATGCAATCAAAGTGGGCCAGAGGAGGTAGAGACCCCATCCACTCCTGAGAAGAGGTGACTGCGAAATTGGAGGTTTCCCCTCCCTTGAGGTATCACCACCAGCCGAGGGCTTGTGTGTCATGCTGGCTGTGAATGCTGTGGATGATCTGAGGGTGAAGATGAGGACCCTCAGGCTGGATGTGAAAGCTGAAATCGAACTGGAGTCCTAAAGGGAAGCTACAAAAGCAGGAGAGAAAGCAGCGGCTGATCTCTCATGCCTCTTCCCCCCCTTTTCTTTTTGCTCTTTTGTCTTCCTTCCTCTTCCTGTTTGCTCTAGGTGTCTGAGCACTTTCCCTGACAACCCCTTACTCCACCCCTCAGGCCACTATATGCTCCTTTTTTTACCTTGGTTTTCCAGAAGTACCAAAGATAATCAACATTCTCCTCCAAGAACAACCCATTAAAAACCTGAAAGATATTTTTACTCCTCTAGCCTATCTTCTCCAAGGTACTTTCCCTAAAAGTTACAGCCTTCATTGGCCCCATTCCAATCTGATCATTTCCTCCACCTTCTTCCATATCTATGTGTATATGTATTTAGGTATATATGTCACTTTTGACATGTGGTTGCAATTGTGACATGTGTTGACACGTGTGAGTATTTAAAATTCACTAGAGTTAATTCTTCTCCACTTTCCACTTATGATAGTTATCTAATAGTTTTGCATATTTGTCCACAGGCTAAAATTTTCCTACAGTCATCGGGATATATTTTGTATACTTGATAAACAAACACTATAAATTTTGTTTTAAATTTGTTTTGATTACAAACATACTGTAGATTTGTTCACGAGCCAAAATTTTCCTAGTCATCAATGTATACTTTATTTACTTGATAAACAAACTTACTGTAAATTTTGTTTAAAATTTATTTCGATTACAAATTTACTGTCTATCTATCCCTGGGCTAAAAATTTCCCAAAGTCTTTAGTGTATAGTTTATTTACTTGATAAACAAAATAAATTGTAAATTTTTTTAAAGATTCATTTTGTTTATCAATTTACCGTATATTTGTCTACAGGCTGAAATTTCCCCAAAATTATCAGTTTATATTTTCTTTACTTGATAAACAAATTTACTGTAAATCATATTGACTTGATAAACATACAGCCTCTTTCAAGAAAGAGTCTTTGTGTGCAAGTTACAGGATACAAAGTTCTAAGTTGTGTTACTGCCAACATCTAAAGCCCATGAGTTCATAAGACTCTTGAAATGCGATGTGTCCTGGAAGGGAGGCCACATGACACCACTCAGAAATGGGAGAATAATGGAAGTAAAGGCAGCAAAAGAAGAGATTCAGAGCTGTGTCCTCCCTTGTTCTAATCCACCTAATGAATGGGAGAGGTCAAAAATAAGATGCTAGAATCTCAGCGACGGAAGGGACCTCAAAAGCCATCTAGTCCAATCCCTCCTTGGACCAGAATTCCTTCTGCCAACATAGCCTATGAACGATCATCTGTACCTTCTAAGAATTCCAGGGGCATCTAGGTGGTGCAGTGGATAGAGCACCAGCCCAGAAGTCAGGAGGACCTGAGTTCAAATGTGACCTCAGACCAAACACTTGACACACTTACTAGCTGTGTGACCCTGGGCAAGTCACTTAATCCCAATTGCCTAAAACAAAACAAAACAAAACCAAGAAGCCCATTCCAATCCTGTACAGCTAATTCTTAGGAAGCATTTCCTTTATGACACCTACACCAAACTTCAATCTTCTGCTTTGGAACTTCCTCCTACCACTTCTAATTCTTTCCAATAGGACCAAGTATAACAAATCTAATCCCCTTTTCACACAACAACTCTTCAAAAGCTTGAAAAAAAAAGCTATTGTTCTATACCCTCTTCCCCAAGTCTTCCACTTTTCCAAGCTAAATCTCCCCAGTTCCCATCAACCAATACACATTTGGCATGAACTGGAGGCACATTTTCATCTTGCTAATCACCCTCCTTCGAATTCTCTGCAATTTATCAATGTCTTTCCATGGTGCCTACCATGTGAGGTATAAGCCATTACAAGTAAGAGTGATGTCATATGGTCCTTGAAAAACTCATGATGAAGGACTCCAGTGGAAAGACTGATAGATCTAGAATGAGACAGAAGACCTGGATTCAAATCCAGGCTGTGATATTTATTACTTGGTGACCTCAGGGAAGCCACGTTATCTCACTGAGCCTCAGTTATATATCTATAAAATGGGGAGACTGATCAAGACAATTTCTGTGCTCTTTTCTAGCTCCAAATCTATGATGCTATGAACAGATTCTTCAAAACCCAGAAGACACCATATTCATAAAATACCATTTCATGCAGCCTTGGGAACCAGTTCATTTCAGGAAACAAAAGGATAGTGTAAGCAGGGATAAGAATTGATAATAATAATAACAGCAATAAGTGTCACCTGCACAGGTGCCTTAAGGTTTTCAAAGCCCTTGACATATACCATCACTTAGTAAATGTTTATTAAATTGAATTATTTCATTGAAGAAGAGGAAGGCGGGGAGAATCGTGTACCTGGCTCTTCGTTTCTTTACTCGACGTTCATGTTCTGCTTCTTCATAATATAATTCGTTGTGGCTGGAATCTCTGCGTCGAGCAGCAGCTGCTATCATAGCCCGAGACTGACCTGCAGCATTGTTCCCTGGGCCTTCAAGGAAAAAGTGGTAGAAAAGCAACAGCTTTAATATCATAGATCTCCTAAACACAGGGCAAAAGAGAAGCTTCAAATTCTGTCAGTACCCTCCACCCTATAAGAAACTTACTGGTACAGTTCTACATAAATCCCCAGGGAATAATCCCAACTTAATACCCCTAAAACTTTATCTAATATGCCCAGTTTAGGACAGGAAAGAAATTCTTAATAAAACCCCAACTAGATCAGTGAAAAGCGAAAAAGAATGGGATGAAGAATCCTAGACAATTAAAATGTTAGCCAAAAAAAAAAAAAGGAGTGCGCTAAGGATGTTACTTACCATCCGTTATATAAAGTTTCAGTTTGGCCATAAGGGCAGCTGGAACATCACATTTCAGCAACAAAACAATGAGAGAGCATGAGAGGGAGGGGGAGAACAAGGACAGACAGAGAAAAAAGAATGTCAAGAGACTTGGAGACACCAACCACACACAGGAAAATAAAAGTTATGCTGGAATGTGTCATGGCAGCCACAACTTTTAGGAAATATACCAACACCTCAAAGACATGCAAAAACGGCACCTATTAAGCCAAGAGATATGGAGCCTATGTACAAGTTGAACATTTGACACCCTCCTTATATGTCACCTAATAGCAGACAAGCCTGTTTTTATAATGCAAGTTTTATTTCATCTTTAGACTCTAAAAGGGATACCTTCAAAATTCAAAAAACTTATCATTGGGCTAAGAAATCGAATTGGTATTTTTTTTAAAAAACAAAGAATGCACTCGAATCTAACACTGTCCATATCTTGTTGAGAGCATTTACCTCTTCTGGCATATGCAGAGAGGGAGGCTCTATCCAAAATTTATCTTCCAGACTTCCACCTACTCCTACAACTTCATCTCCCAGAAAGAACTGACAAAGATCTGGACTGCCCCAAATACGATGAGAAAAAACAGCATGAACACTAGTGAGATCAGTTGTATTCACTGACTTTGATAGCTATTTGAATCTAAGCATTTCTCCAAACTTTCTAAAGTGTGCCCTTCCTAAGATTATTATAAGATATTATAAGATTTTATAAGATTATAAGATATTCCCAGAAGAAGGTAGGAAACAAACCAATGTCATTCTTTTTTAATTTTTAAAATGTGCTAAATTTTAATTTTTAAAATGCGTTAAACTCTCAGAGAGATGTAAATACATGTAAAATGTTAACCAACACTTCTTCAAAATAAATGTATGCCTACATCTAAACTCATCTGAAATAACAATGCCACAGAAGACAGACACCAAGGGATGGTGGAACCAAATTGACTCTAAATTTTAAGCTCAACAGTTTCTTCCTCCCCATTCCCTCCACTCCCCAACCCCCCCAATCCAACCTCAGAAACCACTTCCAGAAACATACCATCTACATTGTAGACTTTTAGGCCAGCCATGTGCTTAGCTGCTCTGGATTTGGAGGCTGTTAAGAGGGTTGGGTTATAGATGGTGAAATCTTTGTAGTAATTTTCCAGAACTACCAATGCTGCTCGCTGTATGCTAGGAAGAGAGAATAAAGTTAATTCAAATCTTTTGCATACGACCAGAAATTTTGAGGTTTACTTTGAAGACAAATTGTCCATAAGGAAAAAAAAATCTCCAGGGAACTCGGCTAATATGCCATCACTCCACCCCAAGGTTCACTACTCCTTGCCACCACCTGTAGAAGGCATAGCTGTGCCAAAATACAGAATAATAATAATAATAATGATCTGGGCAGTAGTCTGAGCTCCAAGTAATAACGGTATTCTGCCTCCAGAAGACTGGGTTTATAGTCAGTTGTCTTCATATAGCCCAAAGGCTTTGATGCTATGCAGAAACAGGGTCAACCAGTATCTCCCAAGTGACCAACTCTCTCTTCTTCCAAATTTTGGTCCCATCTTCCCAACTCTACAATGGCTGGGGATGGGGTGGGGGGTGGAATGACAAAGTAGGATCCATAAGTTGTTGGGAATAGGACAGAGCATAAGCTTAGTAATATGCCAAGCTGATTTTCCTAATCTCTATACCTGAAATAAGATAATCTTTTTGTAGGCACAGATGAGTACTTTTTAGTAATCTGAACATGCAGGGTTCTCAATAAATATTCAGAAGATGGAACTTAGATGAGAATAGCCAATGTTCACGGGACAATGAAACTGCTAGATGGTTCATTGGGTAGACTACTAGTCTAGAGTCAGAAAAACCTGAGTTCAAATCTGGCCTCAGAGCCTTCCTAGCTGTGTGACCTTGGGCAAGTCATTTAACCCCTGTCTTCTTAGTTTCCTCATCTGCAAAATTGGGAAAATAATAATACCAATCTCTTAGGGTCCTTGTGAGGATAATGTTGTAAAGAACTTTGCAAATCTTAAAGTGTTCTATGAATACTATTATTGTTATTGTTATGGAAAGGTATGATTGACAGCATGGAATTTACAATTTGAAAGTGTCATTAAATGGTTATAATCAAGAGTACTCAACCAGATCTACTGGTAGATCTCAAAGTTGATGACCACCATCATCTCCTGCCACCCAGGGGAACACAGACAACAGTGCCCTCTTCCACTTTCATTCAATTTAATTTTATCACCATTTATTTAATGTTCATGATGTGCCACAGATACAAATATGGGTAAAATAGTTCCTACCTTTAAGGAGTCTATGATCAACAGAAGAGAAGGGACTTGACTGGGAATACTTTCCCAGCGCCCAGTTCTGTGATGAGATCTTAGAACTCATCCAGTCCAGCTAATTTTGTTGTTGTTCAATTGTCTGAGTCTTGTCCAACTCTTCATGACCTCATTTGAGGTTTTCTTGGCAAAGATGCTGAAGTGGTTTGCCATTTCCTTTTCCAGCTCATTTTACAGTTGAGGAAACTGAGGTAAACAAGATTAAGAGACTTGCCCAGGGTCACGCAGCTAGTGTCTGAAGCCAGATCTGAACTCAGGAAGATGAGTCTTCTTGACTCCAGACCCAGCACTCTATCGACTTTGTCACCTAGCTGCCTCCTCCCAGCCCCCACCCCTCACCTCTGCTAGCTAATTTTACACAGAAGGAAACTGAGGTCCAAAATCAGGTCTTCAAACTTCAAATGCAACACTCTTTCCACTGAGCTATAAGAGCTTCACAAAAATGAAATGGGACAACTGCTCTTTGCAAAAATGGTCAGGGAACTCTCGTCTTCACAGACAAGGACAAGCACCTAGAAGTCACATCAGACCCTGCCCTTCCACTCTATCATTGATGGAACTTTCCTTCCTACTAAAAACATTTTATTTCCCATTAGAAGAATGAAAATTCCAAGCAAAAGTTTGGAATGTCATTCTTAGGTTCTTCATGTTAGGATTTGTTTTTTAATGCAAATGGACCACGGATGAGAAAATTGCAGAAGTCGGAGAAACTGGACATCCTTCATCCTGAGAAGCACAGGAGACAGCACTAAACCACACTTCCCAGGCACCTTTCTCAACTTTTCCACCCACATCGATCAGGGAAATCACAATTTGGAGCACAGGAAAAGTACCGAGGGAAGTTATTTCTGTTTCATAGCAACATACAGCGAACACCTAACCTTTTCCAATATGTACACATACACAAATATCAGTATGTTTATACACACACACACACACACACACACACACCCTCCATAATAGATCACAGTTGCCAAGTATTCACCATAGTAGCTACCATTTATATAACACTTTAAGATTTGCAAAAAAAAAAATATGAATCTATATGTATATGTGTATGTGTGTGTATACACACATACACAAATATGAGTTACCTCATTTGACATCTCAACAATTTTATAAGGTTGGTCTTTTTATTATCTCCATTTTACAGACAAGGAAACTGAGGCTGAGTTACAAAGCTAGTAAATATCTGAGGCAGGGTTCAAACCCAGGTCTTCCTAACTCCAAGTCTACTATCATGGAGGACTCTGTGCATACAGGAGTACAGACCCCACCAAGCCTTCATTCCAGACCAGGTTAGAAAGTAAAGTCTTGCTATACCCTCCAGAACAGTCAGATTTCTGGTGGGAGAAGAGAGGCAAAGAAAAGGGGTTCATATGACTTGCTCATCTGTGGGAGAATTTGTAAGAGTATTTATTTAAGGGGGGGAAAAGTGAACAGGGCTGAAAAATTGTACACAAAGATGTCTTCCCTTACCCCATTCTCAAGGGAGATGTCAGAATGATTCACACAACAAGAAAAGACAACTGGCCAGCCTCCCAGGTTGACGAGCTGCTGCTACCAGAGCTAAGGGGCTTTTCCAGCTGAATTTTAAAATCTCTCCAGGAAATGTTCAAACTCTCACTCAGGTAGTAATATATAGTAATGCCTCCTGTATCAAGTATTCCCCCTAAGCAAATTTTCCAGGAGTGCTTAGTAAGAGACAAAATTTAAAATATGTGTATATACTTAATCATTTTGGATGGATACAGTTCCAAAATGTGTTATACCCTTTCTTCACTTTTAAAACAGAGCGTTAACCTTTTCTTGATAACTCAGGGTCATTTGTAACATTATAGCTATTGTATTGTATTATAAAATAGTGAGTCTCAGGACTAAGGGTCTTTATCCTCTCCACTACATGGTCCTAAAATCCTTTCCTTTTGAGTGTTTGTATCTTACTTTCTAACTTTCCCTCTCTTCTCTTGAGGTTGGGCTATTATGTGTCGCTGGAGTTAGCACGTTTACCTATAGCTGCCTTCCAAAACCACTGCCTTTTAATATGGGCTTTTAATCCACCATCAGCTAGGAAACCAGACAAGCAAATTGTTAGACTTGTAACTAAAAGAAGAATATCACAGTCTCTGAGCATTGTAAAAGAGACACCAACTGAGACTCTAGAACTCCGTTTACAACTCATAGCACATGATGGCCTCCAGGCAGAAAGTGCTGACTATACCACCCATTCTACTTTGAGAGAGGAGTCTTGCTGTTAGGAAACTTTCCTAGTGTCCAGCCTAATCCTCCTTCTTTGCTATTTCCACCACTGCTCCTAGTTCAGAGGCCAAGTGAATAAATTTAATCCCCCTTCTATATAACAGCTCTTTGAATACTGGAAAAGTGGCCAGCTATCTCTTCCTCCTTAAATGTATTCTTCTCCATGCTAAAGACGCTCAGTTATTTCAATTGATTCTTATACGGTGAACTATAGAGGCAGTTAGGTGGTGTAGTGGATAGAGTGCAGGGCCTGCAGCGAGGAAGACTCATCTTTCTATGTTCAAATCTGGTCTCAGATACTTATTAAATGTGTGACCCTGGGCCAGTCACTTAACACTATTTGCCTCAGTTTTCTCATTTATAAAATGAGCTGGAGAAGGAAATGGCAAACCACTCCAGTACCTCTGCCAAGAAAACTCCAAAGGGGTCATGAAGAGTCAGACATGACTGAAAACCGACTGCGCAACAGTAACGACAATCTCTGGTAACCCTCATCATCCTGGTCACCCCCTGTGGACACACTCCAGTTTACCAGTGTCCAACAGACACATATTGAAAGTAGAAGTAAGAGGACAGATATCCAGACAAATAAAAAGGTTAAGGCCAATGCTAAAGTTCTGGCTAGGTCAGTAGGCTAAGTGGCCAAGAAGAGAGAGGAAGATGGGACAATACTTAGAATCCCAGAATTTCAGAGCGGGGAGTTCAGAATTCCTCTAGTCCAATGCTGCCTGAAGCATTTATAGATTCTACTTCCCTGAGAAGTGGCTCTCTAGGCAGTTTTTGAAACTGGAAACTTATGTGGTTCTTTCTCCAAGAGATGTTTACATTTTTAAAGTTTACTTGATGGTTAATAGGCTAGGAGGTAAGAGACCTTCATCCTGATACAACTCTGTTGCTCATTACCAACAACAATTATCACTGGGATTACAGATTAAGAGCCAGAAGGAACCTTAGAAACCATCAAGACCAGCCTCCTTCATTTTACAGATGATCAATGTGAGGCCTAGAAAGGTTAAATGATTTGCCCAAGGTCACAGGAACAGTAACGAGGTGGAATTAGAACCTGGTACCTCTGGTCCAATGCCATTGCTTTTTCCACTGTACCATGACCTTGGTGTGGGACCCTGAACAAATTATTTCTCCCTGTGGGCTTTAGTTTCTTCTTTTATAAAATGAGAAAACACCTGTTAATATAAAAACAGAATCTCTAATGTCTCTTCCAGCTGGCTGTTGTCCTTTGTTCTCAAAGAGGACCAAAATGACATCATTATGTTGGGGTCAAGGTACAGTGTGTCCGACTATGGCTGATCAGACCAATATCACAGGTCAGCCACAAAGAGTCCATGTGAACATTTGGAGTGGCAATGTCTTTAAATCTGCACTATCTCACATTTCTTCCCTTCCAGCTACAGCATTCTAGAAGGCTGAGAATTCTAATAACTGAGCACATACACCCTTACGAGATAGTCAAATTTATTTTTGTATCACTCTAATTCTTCCTTAAGAAATTATTCCTGGGCAGCTAGGTGGCACAGTAGATAGAGCACCAGCCCTGAAGTCAGGAGGACCTGA